ACTACCGCAGAGTGCTTCATAACAAGGTGGTTGCTTACATCAAGTTGGGAAATACTCCACCGGGGGAGTCTTGGCACACATATGAAGACCTTTAGGGATTCTTGCAGTGGAGAAGCCTGTTGAACTTTAAGCGACTATTCTAACTTTTTAAAACACAGAACAATATTTTCATATAACATGTTTTTCCACATCCCCTTGAATAAGGGCTTAAATCATCCCATTTGGAACTACTCTATGATAGAACTACCTGTTCAGTTACTTTTAATGTAAGAGTGACACTGAAACATTCATGTTGCATCGTCGCGGTGCTGCATTACAGGGGTTCCTCATCACAGGCTGGACAACTTGTCTCATCTCGCCCTGAGATTGGAATCAAGTCAAGGATTGCTTTTGGTTGATTTTCCTCATTCTGGCCAGATTGAGGGAACTATTTATAGCCCCTGATTGTTTGTCTGTCAACATATAAATAAGAAGCTTTGAGGGACTTCCCTGGCAGTCCAGTGTTTAAGATTCCACTTTTCCACTGCAGGGGGCATGGGTTCGATCCCTGGATGGGGAGCTAAGATCCCACATGCCGTGTGGCCAAAAAAAAAAAAAAAAAAAAAAAAAAAAATTTGGTGGGGGGGGAAAAGAATTATGGACGTGTTGGAAACATGTGGGCCTTGAATTTCCCGGAGTTTTTGACTTTATAGCCTGTTAAGTTCGTCTCCCTGGTCACTTCCGTAGCCCTCAAATCTTAAGCACGTTTCAGGCAGAGCTGCTGGCATTTGTTAAGTGTATTGCCAATTTGAAGATTATTTGGTTCAATGTCTGGCACATATTCAGGCACAACTCCATATATCCCTTGCTATATGTACAAACAAATAACTTCAGTTAGGCAAGGCTCTTTATGAAGAAATCTCCCTAGGAACCAATGAAAAGATGTTAATGATTTGCCAGTTTGGTTCCTTGCAGAGAGGGAATCCCCCTCTACCTAGCTTATATTGGGCACTTCATCAATAAACCAGCAGTGAGCAAATAAATAAGTAGTGCTTCTGCACTGCCTGAGGATACTTGAAAACAATTTGTTCCCTTAATTGGGTTAAATAACTCCTCCCTGAACGTCTTATTACCTGATGATTTTGTAAAAATTAGCTTTTTCTTCATAAGGAGGGCATAAGTAAACCCTGAGAATGACTGGTGGCTGAAAGTGGAGAAGCTTAGGCTCAGTTATGTTTCTACTACTTATCAACAGTGTAGTTTTGGGAAAGTTTGTTGACCTCTGTTCCTCATCTGTAAAATGAGGATCATGACAGTCTTATAAGTTTCTGTGAGTTAATACTTGAAGCAGTTCCTGGCATGTAGTAAGTGCTCAGTATATCTTAGCCACTACTGTATAATCAAAGGGTGCAATATCCCCAAAGAACTGCAATTTTTACATATAAAAGTTCATCAGACTCTAAAAGAAATAGGAATCGTACATTCTAATACATGCCATAGGGAAGATCAAACTATTTTTCTTGAAGTTATTTGCCTCCTCCTTCATCCCAATGTCTGCACAGTTCTTGGCACATGGTTTGTTGAGTGAATGAATAAATGAGTAATTGATTCATTCTTATCACATTCCTCTTGATGTTTTCGTGCAGACCTGAATATCCCCAGGAACACTGTTTGCTTTAAGAATTAGCCAGTGAAGTGTTATGAGAAGTATTGTGGTTTCTGTTCTGTGTGACTCAGTTGACAAAATTAATTGCTTTTCTGTCATACAATTTCATGGATTTTCATCAATCCTTTTGTCTGTTAACAAATCCTGTCAGTATCTTTAAACCTGCAATAATGATCAGTATTTAGCATTTTAATAAAAGAATGGAAATTGTGTGTGTGTGTGTGTGTGTGTGTGTGTGTGTGTGGTGAGAGGGAGAGAGAGAGAGAAAGAGGAAAATTTTAAATAAGATCTAACTTTTTATTTGTATGTTTCAGTAATGTCAGTCTTCATGAATGTTATTATAAAAAGTAAATAATTTCTCTATAAAATCTAAGAATATAATGCCATGTTGCTTGACAGTATTTCTGAGAACTACTACTCTAATAATTCGATGTGACTTTTCTGCTATGTTAAGAGTAGACAGATTTCCTTTCTCTTAAGACATCTACTTACACCGTTTAGTGTTTGAATAATTTTAAAATTCTGATTTCTGTTCCTTTTACTGGTTATGAATTCATTCTGGTTTAAAGTGTTTAGATTGCCCTCAAATTTATCAAACTTGCCACTCATTTCTTCATGCAGTTTCCAGACTTACAAAGCTTGATTGCCCATATCTCCTGTCTCATATAGAGGTGGACCCACCATGGTTGTGGGAAGAATGACCATTGGTTATACTTGCCAGCAAAACAGACTACAGCCAGCCATTTCTGAGCCATCTCAGTTCTACTAGAAAGTTCTCTTTTTTACATTGAAGTATAGTTGATTTAACAGTGTCGTAGTAGTTTCTGGTATACAGCAGTGACTCAGTTATAGATATAGATATATATACATATTCTTTTTCATATTCTTTTCCATTATGGTTTATTAGAGGACATTGAATATAGTTCCCTGTGCTATATAGTAGGAGCTTGTTGTTTATCTGTTTTGTGTAGTATTTTGTACCCGCTAATCCCAGACTCCTACTGTATCCCTTTGGTCCCTTTCCCCTTTGGTAACGATAAATTTGTTTTCTATGTGTGAGTCTCTTTTTGTTTCGTAAATAAGTTCATTTGTGTCATATTTTAGATTCCACATATAAGTGATATCATATGGTATTTGTCTTTGTCTTTCTGACTTATTTCACTTAGTATGATAATTTCTAGGTCCCTCCATGTTGCTGCAGATGGCATTATTCTTTTTCAAGGCTGAATACTACTCCATTGTACCACATCAATTTTATTTTATTTTATTTTATTTTTTAATTTTATTGGAGTATAGTTGATTTACAACGTTGTGTTAGTTTCAGGTGTGCAGCAAAGTGATTCGGTTGTACATATACATATATTCATTCTTTTTCAGATTCTTTTCTCATATAGGTTATCACAGAATATTGAGTAGACTTCCCTGTGGTATACAGTAGGTCCTTGCTGGTTATCCATCTTACATATTCTACTAGAAAGTTCTTGTTCAACCAGGCTAGGGCTAATGGCTGCTCTGGCTGTAGGTAGAAGGTTTTTTTATTCCCAATCTTTTTTTTTTTTTTTCTTTTAGTCTCATGATAGGTAATCTCACCCAAATCCCTGCTTTAAAATACCACAACTCTAGTCTCTCTCTAGTGTCCTAAGTGCACACAATCATGAAGATTTCTTTCACACAAGAGCCCAAACATGGTCTACAGCCAACTTCTCTACAATCTCCATTCAAAGAGCGCATTCTCCTCCTCCCAGGAGCAAAGCTTTTATGGACTCTTGGCCACTCTATCCAATGCACATTTTCTCATTTTCCATTCTAGCACTATCACAAAGAATTTTCAAAGCTTTCTCTCTGTGGGCTCCCACCGATTTCTGAATTACTTGTGAACAAAAATCTTGTCTTTTTATGAAAGTGTGCTAGATAGCTATCATCGTATATATTAAGCAGGTGAAAAATGCCATGGAAAGGAAGAAATGCATCTACTTTTAAAAAACATCATTACCATAGTTCTTTATATGAGATATTTCTCAATTAAAATAATTCCTAATCACTTAAAAAATGAACTGTTTACAGGCAGATTCATAGATACGTAAAGTAGATTAGAGGTTGCCAGGAACAGAGCAGGGAGGGGAAAATGGGAACTTATTTCTTAGTGGGTAGTTTCTCTTCGGAGTGATAGAAAAGCTTGGGAAATACATTGGTCACGGTTACACAACATTTTGACTGTAATTAATGCCACTGAATTGTACACTGAAAATTTGTCAAAATGACAAGGTTTATGTTATATATATTTTACCACAATAGAATTTAAAGATGAGTTATTTACAAATAAGAAAGGCATTGAAATATTCAAGATAACTAAATGCATATTTTTTAAAAAGAAATCTTTCCTAAATAGAGAAGTCATGAAAGGGAGCCCAGAAATTAGTCTTGGAAATAAACATGATCTTGGGAATACTGGGGTTTTTTCATTTATTCTCATTTAAGAAACATATTACTACAACAGAAATCATCATTAAATAATGCAATGAATTTTAAAAGTGAATAAGTGAATAACTGAATGATTAAAAGAAAGCACCATTTAAATAAATCTCCAAAGTTGAATGGCTGGATATAGCAGGGCCCAGTTTATCCCTCTGTTGATCACAGACATTAGGTGGTCAAAATGGTGTGCTGTCCATAGGAACATAGAACAGACATGGACACATCTACCATTTGTTTTTGATAGGAAGTGCTATCAAGTTTAACGATCATAGGACCAAAGGGTCAGATACACTGGATTTATGCCCTGGGTCTTCCTCATGTAAGATTTTTAGTCTCAATGAAACACAGTTTCTTCACCTAACAAATAAAGGGGAAAAGATCCAACATCATTTCTTTTTTGTGAAAGTGAAGACTGCCTGTTGAAGGCCTGTCATGCAGAAGTCCTTTACCTATGTATTATTAACATAAAGGTTCAAATAAGTTTAATGTTAAACAAGTAGTTATTCTACATAAAATATCATGAGTTCTGAAAATAACTTTAGTTCCAGATATGCTTTACATGAAGTTTTTTTTTTTTTCTTTCTCCCTCCCTCCCTTTTTTTTCTTTCTTTCCTTTTTTATTGGCTAAATTTATACTTAGCATACTTGGCAATATTATCCCATCTAAATTCCAGGTTACTGGGAAATACCAATCAGTGTTCAAAGCACCCCTAACTGTGGGCAAACTAAATTATCTTTCGCAAGCAAACATGGTGTTACAATTGAGACACAGGCCTCACCTTGAAAGGCCAATCTTATAAGCACTGATTTCTGTGTGGAATTTTTTCTAACCTTTCTTTCTTTTTCTGTTTTCCTTTCTTATATGCTGACTTCGGTGTAGCAGACCACTTGGGGATTGAATTCATGGGTAAGACTAAACAATTTTCTCCTTAAATATCTGGAAAAAGCTAAGTTTGATAATGTATATAGTGTTCTCCTTCCCCATCTGATTATAATTGAAATGTCTCACTGTCAGGTACTATTAGTAGTAAAAAATGTTTTTGTCAATTTTTCACTAAGTAATGGCTCAAAATGAAAGACTTAACTACTTATTGGGAAGGCAATTTAATGTTAAGTGCAGCTTTGGAACCTTACAGAAGTTGAATTTGGCTCCTGGATTTGATTGTTTGCTCTGATTCTCAATTTTCTTATCTGTAAAGAGGCATTAACGATAGTTCCTATTTTATTGCACATATAACTTGCTTAGCACAATGTCTGCAAGATGGTAAACACTCAATAAATGGTAGAAAATAATGGTGATGGTTTAAAAATATCAGTTTTTGTTATTTTCTGCTCTATTTTTTTTTCCTTTTGCATGATGACTACTTTGGATATATTTTGGTCAATCTTAATTTTGGACTATGGGCTCTATAAATGTTTTCATTTATGAAGTGAAAATATTTATTTTGAAAGTATTTGTAGTGAATGGTGTGTTTTTAAAAGGATTCGAATACCTTCCACAGTAATTATTTTCTATACTCATAGATAATTACATTAAGAATTGGACATACTTTTCTGAGTCTATATTATAAGTAAATGAAAAGAAAAAGCATTCCATAGGATTGATAGGCATCATGGTACTAAAATAGAAAGATACTCAGGCGTTAAAGTTGGTGAAACTGAGGACCCAAATTTGAATCCAAATTCATCGGTTCTCCTTTTGCTCAGCTTTTGTTGAACTTCAGGGTTTTCCCTTATATGATATAGATGTGAATACTTGCTTTATACCTGCATATGTTCTCTGTGATAATACTTACAAATTTGCTTGTTTTCATTTATCCATTAATCCATTAATTCAGCAAATATTTATCAGTTGCTCACTCTAAGCAAAGAAAAAATGCAACATGCTACAGATAAAATAGTGAGCAAAAATGGACCATAAAAGCTGGTTTGATGGAGCTTACAGTCTAGGAATCTTTCAGATGATAATTAGGTAATAAAACTGATAAATATAAAATTTAAAGTTTCTTAAGACCTGTTCGAGGCAAGATGATATTAGCTTGGACTCGTGTGATAATGGAAGATGTGAGAGGAAAAGCTGACAGATATTGGGGACGTGATAGCAACCAGTATTTGAGAGGAATTGATGTTGAGGGTTAGAAAAGGGAGATTTTCAAAGATGACTGCAGGGTTTAATAGTTTGCATATTTAGATAAAATGTGGGCCCATTTTCTGAAAAAGAAGACTAATAGAAGAACAGATTTATGGGAGATGTTTTACTAGATTAGGTTTGGAAATTTTGAGTTCTGGGTGCCTTTGATATATCTGAGAGAAGATGTTAAGTTGATAGTTATATTTCTGGAAGTTTTGAGGGTTAATTAGAGATTAGTGATGACATACTTTTATTAAAATTGATCTTCCTGTTGTGTGATATTACTCATTAGTGCTCTATTATCTAGGTATTGGATCATAGAAAAAGCAGACAGATCAATTCCGGCAGATTTGGGGTTTTGGTAGATAGATGTGATGGACAATGAAATTCAAGGTAATATTGAAATGAAGCATTGTGGAATGTAAGGTAGATGCGTAATGAGATGAATAGGGATTGGCTAATCTGAATGGAATTAATGAGTAGTCACCATGGAAGTCCTCAAACAAGTTGTTGGCGTGAAGAGGAGGTTGTAGTCATATGAACCAAGAATTGCAGAAAACCATGGGCATGGGCATGTGGTAGAGTATAAATTGTTGAGAAGGACGTGTGGTTTGTACTTTCCTCATTTACTGATGATGGTGGGGATTAGCAGCATGGAAGTTGAGCATCAAGAGTCATTTGAGGATAGCAGGTACTTAGCCTAATCAGTAGAGAAATTTGCTCCACCAGACTGTGGTGATTGCTGGCTCAGAGAATAGAGGGTCCAGAAGTTATGTAGTAGAATGACTAGATATAAGAAGCACTGCCTGGTGGTGTGCGGGACTGGGATAGCATCAAACCCCACAAATGGTATGGCCACGGTTATAGTAAACTAAACTTGCTACATAAATAATAATTATCACTGTTGAAAGAAATGGATGAGTCATCATCCTATTGGGCTTTCCCTGAGGATTTTCAGTGACACTTATACCTTATAGTATAACAATTTGCTATGGAATCAAGATATGTATTAAGAGGTCTGTTTTAAAATATTTAAAATAATTTAGTTACCAGTAGGGGAAAAATAAGAGGTTATTGTGTAATTCATCTATATGAATCTCAAGCCTAACTGATGTTATAATGAGTCTTATAAAAGGTGAAGTCAAATTATAGCTATAAAGCTTTACAGGGAATGGATTCTCAATATGTGAATCCAGCAGTAGAGTTTGCCTTGGAGAGAAGGAGTTGGGCAAAGTCAGAGTTAAAGGGAGTACTTAGTATGCATAGAGAATGGCAAATGATGAAGGAGTATTTGGAATGATAAATAGGTTTATAGACTTAATGAATAAACTGTTTTCACTGGCCTCACTAATTCTAGACCCTGTTCACCCCCACAGGTTGCTCTAACTGAATGTATAATATTATGTTTCTTGCTTTGGGAATAAATATTTTCAGATTTAACTTTTAATGTTAGAATCCACATGGGTAAAATTTGTTCCATGGGAGATGATATCATCACAATAATATGGTGTCTCTAGGTATAAATGAAGCTGGGAAGCAGAAATGTAGGCATACTCTCTATAAATTTAATTATGTCAGTTTATTGGTGTGCCTACAAGTATTCAATGCCAGTTCTGTGTTAATGAATTTCAGAATACCTTTCTTCTCAACTTTCATCATTCTTGCTTTGGGCAATGTTAGTTTCATGTTTCCTTGACTTGATCACAAGGTGATGATCTGAAGCACACGTGTCTTTTCCCCAAGTCTTTTTATTCCCATTGGCCATGTCATGTGTGCACTCCTACTGATCAGACTCAAAACATAAACACATCAGAAAGTTCAACAAATTCTTATTTATAGCAAAGAACTCCAAATCATATACTTCAAGAATCCTACTATTATTTAATCAACATATACTTATCACACTTACTATATGCCATATGTATAAGATATTGAATATGCAGATATATAATCCACATCCCTTAATGACTAAAGGTTCTGAAATTAAAGGTAGAGAAAGCTACACATAGTTGAGGTGACCTAACAAGTGCTATTAAAATGGCATAGGCAAAATAAATGAAAAAAAATTAAAAACAAAAGCCACTAAATGGGCTTGGGAAATTCAGAAACAGCTTCCCAGGAGGGGAGAAATTTAAGCTGGGTCCCAGCCAAAGTGGATAAGCTGTACCAAGTGTTGCTCCAGTCCAAATTTAGACTAGCCCCACATTGCTTCCACATTAGTGGGAGCCTTGCTCTTTCAGTTAGTGTGTCTGAGCTCCCTAGTGTCACTACTTTAGGACTGAAGAGAGGACATCAACTTCAGTAAAATAATTATCCTATTGAATAAACCGTGCCAAGCCTAATGTCCATAAAACTGTCAGCATTCAAAAAGATTTTTCCTTAATTATATTCATGAACTTTTTTTTAATGATGCCACTGGGGTTGGAACAATGCAAATTTCAACAACAAATACTGCTCTAGAATACAGTATCAGTTTAAAAAAATACAGTTAACTGGCACAGTTAGGACAGGAATTTGAAGGTGCATAAAAATACAAAATTGTGTTTGTAAAAATATTTGCAATAAAAGGGTTTATAGTAAACCAATAATCAAAAAATATTTCTTGAAGTCACGACTTAACCTACTCATTCATAAATGCATGAGGGAAAATTGATATTTTTAAGGTCAGACATTCGAACTTTCCCTCACAGCGTGGATAGATCAGGAGATGGTACAGACAAATTTCTTTCTAAGCACAAGTACTCATTGAGTTGTGTGAGAAATCCAACCAATCATCCAGACAAGACAGATGGCCAAAGGGCATGTCAGACTGGCCAAGTTTGGAAGGTGCATTGATCATGAAGAGGGATTTCTCATCGGAAAAATATCTCACTACTGTGTCAGGTGCTCAATCATGGAGCATATCTCATTATATCCATTTGAGCTATTTGTTACGCAGCTGTGTCTCTGACAATGCCCTCATGCATTTGATGCTCTAGGCATCAAAGATGTTTGTATAAAAGCAGGTGCAGTGCCATTTGCAAATGTATTAGCAAACCACAGGGAGAATTGAAGATTGTGTGGGAGATCTTTTATGCAAATTTCTTTCATTCTCATATGAAAAAATAAAATGAACTCTGCCAGTTAAATGTCATTTGTGATTTGATATTGTGTTTTGGATAGCATAATATATTTATGCAGTCTAAGTAAACTCTGGTATATATTTTTTTAATCAAAAGATTTATAAAACCTGGGAAAAGTCAGATTTTTAACTATAATCTTAAAAAGATATTCTAAAATAATCCTATGTTTTGAAGTTAAAAAATAGACAAAAGAAATACTGAGTTGCCTATAAGGAGAGGGTTAGAAATGTCTATCGTCTTAAATATATGTGTAGATTCAGAATTGAGAAAGTTATTACTTCAAACCTCACCATATATTTAGTATCTCTTCATCCCCTCATGTAAAAAAGAATACTTTTAGGATATTTTAGCAAGCACTGAAGATTATCTCCTGAGAAATGACCAGTTCCTAATTCTGTTTAGATGATATGAGGTGGGGATACTTTCCTGAAAGCTACACTGCTTATTATGAATGAATTGGTGTGTGTTCCTTTAAATCTAACAAGCTCGTATGTCAGTCAGATGAATTCATGTGTTTGCCCTAATTTGTGAAACAGCATTAGAAATATAAAAATGAGGATCCCCCTTCTTTAGGCTGAAGTCTCTGAATTAGACTTATTTGGAACAGAAATGTTTTTATTCACTTGAATATGTTGTTTTCTTATAAAATAAAAT